TCACGAGGCTTAACTTAGCCAATCCGTGCAAACGGTAGCCCCGCACGGGCACACGGGGAAGGCTCAAGTGTGAACGCCTTTAGAATGGCCCTCAGTCTGTCTGTCCTACAGAGATGCTGAGATCTGTCCTACGATGCTTTCAGGCAGGCTCTACAGGTTTAGAGTCCTGGGACCTCAGGACCAGAAGGAAGGGCCCCCAGAGCACATGCGGCCGACCCGCGGGGCATGAGGCTGGCCCACCCCAGAATTGCCCGCGGCTTCGCCTTGCAGAGGCACTGTCTCTCCAGTAGGTACTGCCTTTAAAAAAGAAAACGAAACAAAACAACAAAAAAACACACAGCAACGAGAAGCGGCCCCTGGTGGACATTCGGGAAACCAACTCTGAGCAAAGTTGAGGAGACTGAGCCGCGGACTCTGAGCTCTCCACGCTCGCCAGCACCTGCGCAGGCGCAGTAAGTGGGCGGAGCTGACGCGCGGCTGGGGCTGAACTTCCCGTGAGAAGTGCGCGTTCTCGCGGGAACTGCATTCAAAAAGCCGTGGCGCTTAGCCGGAAGGTAGGTGTGCGCGTTGGCTGATGTTTCTGTGGCAAGACTTACCCTCAGGAGCCTGGGCGCTGCGAACTCGCCGCGAGCCGCCGCCGGCAGCAGCTGGGGAAGGGTGCTGGAGGTAGGGGCAAAGGGCCTGGAGGGAAGTGCGTGTGGCGAGGAGCGGTGGGGAGCGGCGCTGACGGGCTCCTGCGGGGAAGAGAGGGCCCTCGGAAACCTGGGGCCTGGATCTCGGCTGAGGGCGTAGGCCGGAACGGCTTCTTCCGCGGAACCCCGAGTCCTTGTCCACCGGGTTCCGAGTCGGTTTCAGTTTTCCGTTGGGCCGCCTCGCCGCCCCCCAGGGATGCTGCCTGGACTTGGAAGGCCTGGGAGGCCGCCGGGACCTCCGAAAGATAACAGTGTCCAGGGTGAGAAATGCTGTAAATGTGAAATATACAGCGGATTTCGAAGACTATACAAAAGTCATATTTCGTTAATAAAATCATATTTCGTGTTATGATTACATGTTGAAATGATATTTGGGATGTATTGGGTTAAGGAAAATATTATCCAAATGAATTTCGGTGGTATTAACCTTTTTTTTCTTTTTTAATGTGTCTGCTTGACAATTAAAAATCCCATATGTGGCTTGCCTGATTATTTCTGTTGGACAGCGCTGCCCCAGACAGCTGTGTGTCCGATTCTCCCCTACCTGCTTTTCACAAGCCATTGGCTGATTGAACCTTCTCAAAACCCCTGTTAGGTCGATGTTATTGGCCTTGTTTTTTGGATGACAGGACAAGACATCACATAAGATGTTGTGGTCCATGCAGCCAGTGAGTAGTGAACGTGGGGTAAGGACTCGGCAACCGGATTGCCAGGGCTTCCAGTCTCCTCAATGCTTTGCGCAGGCCATGCTTCTGCGGGGCAGGACGTTAGGAGCTGGACCCCCTTCCCGTCTCACTCAGCCGCTCACTAGCTGGTAACCTCTGCGCAAGTCACTTAACCTTTCTGGGCCTCGGTTTGCACATGTGTAAATGGGGGAATTACCTTATTTCATGGGGTTTTCGGGTGGATTACATAAGATAAAGTATGCAAAGCACCAAGCACACTATCTGGCACATATTAGCTGCAGTTGTCATTCAACCCTGGCCGCCTCTCGTTGCAGATGGATATTTAACTCTTACGCATTCATCTACTGAAAACTCACTTCCTCAGGGAAATCTCTCTTGTCCTGATCCCCCGATACCCAGGTTGGGACAGTTCCCCTGTGTTGTAGGCTCAGAGAGTACCCTACAGCTCTCCCTGCTGCACTTAGTCACAGTTTTAACTCTACAGTCATTTGATTTCATGCCTTTCCGCTCAGAGACTGTAAGGTTAAGAAAGATAGGGCTCTTGTCCGGCTTTGGGTCACCATTGTGTTCTCAGCAATAGCTCAGTACTTGACATATAATAGGAATTCCAGCAAATCCTTTGAGTGAACGAGAGCTGATGTTTTGGCTTCCGTGGACATTGCTGGCTGGTTCCAGTTTTTCTTTGGTAAATTTTAACCCAGGACTCTCAAGAGAATTAAATGAGAGAATGCATTTGAAGCTCTGTGCCTGGCAAATGGTAAATCCTCAGTAAGTATAAATTATTTTAACAGTTAGCAGCTGGCCCCAGCATGTACAGGCTTTGGAAAGGGCTTGCATTTCAAAGCAGTAACTGCCAGCCCTGCGAAATGTAGGCTATTCTTCTCTTCTAAACCCCTATATCTCCTCTTTTATCTACATTCTTAATGACCTTGCTTCCTAATTCACAGATCAGTTGAAGTGGTTAGAAGGGCACTTATGCAGACTCCCACCATTATATGTACATACTTATCAATATCTGTAACTATAGACTTTGCTTTCCCATACTTTAGATGAAATATTCATGCTTCTGTCTAAAATCAGTTCCTGTGCATTAGACCTCATTCTCTTTATTCATCACTTCAGCAGTTCTCCATGTCTTCTGTATTATCACGTTTTCTTCTCTCCTGGATCTATCAAATAGCATAGAAGCATACTGTTAAATTTTTCTTAAAATTTCTTGTTTTAATAAATTTTTCTTAAAATTTTTATCTTTAAAATAAAATGATTTTTGCTTTCCCTCCAGCCCCTGCCCCATTTATCTGTTCTCCTTTGCCGCAAAACTGTACATACTGTCTCCTGTTCTTCTACCATTCTTTGTCCAACTCATTCCAGTTAGGCTTTTGCCCCATCTCTCTACCAAAACTGCTCTTAGGGTCATGATGGCCTCTGTGAATTCAAATCCATTGGCCAATTCTCAGTTCTTCCCTTATTTGACTTGGCATTTGATAGAATTGGTCACATGTACCTCCTTAATACACTTTTGTTTATTGGCTTCCAGGACAACACATGATCTTGGTTTTATGCTTCCTCACTGGTCATACCTGAGTATACTTTTCTCTCTTCTTTCCTGTCTCTTTCCAGGGCTTATTCCTTGGCTCTCTTCTCTTTAATTATGCTCATACTCTGGTGATATCAAGGTTCAAGGATTTATGCTAATAACACCCAAATTTATATCTTCAGCCCAGATCCCTCTTCTACTCATGTAGGCAACTGCTTACTTGACATATTTCATTAAATAACACTTAAGCCCCTGATTTTCTTACAGTTTTTAATGCATCAACTGATGGCAAATATATTTTACTAGGTGCTCAGGCCAGAAGCCTTGCAGGCATTTTTGACTTCTCTCTTTTTCCCACATCCCACATTTCATTTGTCAGAAAATCATGTTGGCTTTACCTTCAAACTATATGCAGAATTTGACCATTTCTCACCTCCTATGAGGTCACCCTGGTGTGAGCATTCATCTCACCTGGTCTTTCTGTATCCAGCTTGCTCCCCTCCAAACTGTTCAACATAGCAGCCAAATGACCCTTTTAAATATATCAGATCTCTATTCCAGACTTTTCAATGACTCTCCATTTCACCCAGAGTAGAAACCCAAGTCCTTACAATGGCATGACCCTACCTATTTTTCTGCTATTGAGTCTTCTGATCTAAACTCTATCTTGTTCATTCTTTGGGCTTCCTTCCGTCTTAGGTGCTATCCCTCTGCCTGGACCATTCTTTTTCTAAATAGGTAAACTGGTAGTTCTCCGCAAGGGCGCTTTGCTCAGAAGTCACCTGAGGGCCTCCTCCCACTCCAATACTTATTTCAACTTTCATCCTAGCAACAACACATCCACCTCTTGTAAATTCCCTTATTGTGTTTTTTCCCCATTGCTACTTTCTAATTACTATGTTTTTATAATTAATTAGTTCTAATTAATTATACTATGAAGGCAGATATAATATGATATATTGTCTTCTCCCACTGGAAAGTAAGCTTCATGAAAGAAACACTTTTTTTGTCCATTTGACCTCTAATGTATCTGAAGTGTCCAGAATGGAGCCCAGCATATAAGGGATTCAAACAATATTTGGCTACATTGACTGGAGAGATCAGGGAACACCTTAATAATGACGTGTTGCTCTTTGAAGGCAGCTGAATTTGAGTCTGGCCTAAGAGGCTGACACCAATTTGGAAAGGATGTTAAGTAAGGATGAGTTAAAGTGGGATGTTTCTATATATATTTAAGTTTTTGCTTGAAAATCTAAAAGGACAGCAATGCTGTTTAATTACGCTGAACATGGTTTCTGTTTGCATGCCTTCTTACAAATAACTAAGAAGATACTAGTGAGTCTGTTTTCAATAAAGCATATTTAATGTGGCAAATCTGATTTGTGCAGGAAGTTAACACTGTTGTGAAAAATTGTGAACATGATATTCTTACAGTGCCTTTTCATATGTTTATTAGAGTAGTTTCTTTATTTCTTTCATTCTTCTCTTACCTTGATTGCCTGTATAAAGATATAATTATGAGACCCACCTTTTCTTAGCATTTAAGAAAGCAGCACACAACAACTAAATAGTTTCCTGATACAGCAATTCATAGAAGCAAAATTAAATATATTCACCATTTTTTGCTCTGTTTGATTCGGTCTCAAATCGGGTAATAAAATCTTGAGACATTCTTAGAACAAGACCGCAAATGTGACCACTTAAGTCAGGAAGAGCCCAGCCGATGTGGCTCAGTGATTGAGCCTCAACCTTTGAACCAGGAGGTCGTGGTTCGATTCCTGGTCACATGCCTGGGTTGTAGGCTCGATCCCCAGTGTGGGGTGTGCAGGAGGTGGGCCATTGAAGATTCTGTCGATGATGTTTCTCTCTCTCTCTCTCTCTTTCTCTCTCTCTTCCTCTCTGAAATCAATAAAAATATAATTTTTTTTAAAGTCAGGAAGAAAATCTTTAGTACTGTGTTTTTATATGGCAGTGGTATTGAAATATATATGTAACTATATTTTTAAATTTTTATTATGTGGCGATTTTGTTTAAGCTTAAGTACTTTTATTTTCTCTATTTACAGTAGACTAAAAACAGGAAAACATGGAGGCAGATATAATCGCAGATCTTCGACGCAAGCTCAAAGAGGCTGAAGAAGAGCGACTAAAAGCTGCACAATATGGTTTACAACTAGTGGAGAGCCAGAATGAATTGCAGGCACAATTAGATAAATGTCGAAATGAAATGGTGACCATAACTGAGGTAGGACTCTAGACTCCTCTGTTTATAAGGGTGTACTTAGCTATTGAAAATTTGTGCTGTCTAGCAATTATTGTAAATATTATTTTTATTCTTTTCTGAAGATTTTAGATCTAGTTCCCACCCACTCCCATCCCCAGTAAAGAGGAATGAACTAAATGAATTCCTAATGTTCTTTCTGACCCAGGGTGTTCTGACTTTGGAAATTAAGTTATGATTGCTCTCTTCACCACATATTAGATTTTAGATTTTGTTTTGTCTGTATTGTTCGTAGGTGGCCTCGCTTGTTTCATAGCTTTGGATGACATCTAAATGCTCTATGACACTATACCAAGTCCTTAGTTCTCCACTAAAGTCTAGAACAGGGGTCCTCAAACTTTTTAAACAGGGGGCCAGTTCACTGTCCCTCAGACCGTTGGAGGGCCCGACTATAGTTTAAAAAAAAAACTATGAACAAATTCCTATGCACACTGCACATATCTTATTTTGAAGTAAAAAAATAAAACGGGAACAAATACAATATTTGTATTTGCATGTGGCCCGCGGGCCATAGTTTGAGGACCCCTGGTCTAGACTGTGTACTCAATTGCCTGCTAATGGGCATCTCAAACTTAATATAAACAGAAGAGTTGGTTTTTCCTGCAATTTTCCTTAACTTATTCAGTAAATGTAATAACATTCATCTAGTTGCCTGAGCCAGAAATGTAGTAGTTTTACTCAATATTTTTTTCCCTTCTTTCTCATATTTAATCTATTAGTAAGTTCCAGGAACTTGACCTACAAAACATATATTTTTTTAAAATATATTTTATTGATTTTTTACAGAGAGAAAGGGAGAGAGATAGAGAGTCAGAAACATCGATGAGAGAGAAACATCGATCAGGTGCCTCCTGCACATCTCCTACTGGGGATGTGCCCGCAACCCAGGTACATGCCCTTAACCGGAATTGAACCTGGGACCTTTCAGTCGGCAGGCCGACGCTCTATCCACTGAGCCAAACCGGTTTCAGCGGCATATATTTATGCTATTGCCACTCTAGTCCAGACCACCATCCTCTCTCCCTAGGCTAGATTATCGCACTAGCCTTCCAACCAGGTTGCCTGATTCTCTCATTTCTGTTCATACGACTCATTCTTTACTTAGCAGCCAGTTGGTCATTGAAGAATATATAAAAGGTCATGTGACAGCCCCTCTACAAACACACTGGCTTCCAATTATATTTACAACAGAATCTGAACTCCTTACCTGCGTTTGCAGATCCCTGTGTGATCTAAGCCCTGCCAACCTTTGACCTTATCTCAAACTACTTTCCTTTGTTCCTAACTGTGCTAGTCCTGCCTTATGGACTGTACACGAACTGTTGCCTCCATCTGAGTTGTTCTTACCCCACTTGCATAGATTGAGTTCTTAACCTTCTGGTTTCAGTAAGATGTCACCTCAGTGGAGATGCCTTTCCCTGACTATATAGGGTGTCCCCCAAAATGCATACACACACTTTGAATAATTGTAAAGGCAGCGTTTATTAAAATACATTGTTTTAAAAATTGAGCTATGAGATGTTAAAATGTATATACCTGGTACATTTTTTGGGGACAACCTGTATATTGTAAAGCTTTCATCATTCACTCTCTTAATTCTCTGTAGTGCTAATTACCTCCAGAGTAAAAGCACCATGAAAGAGGACATTTTGTCTGTCTTGTTCACTGTTTTGTTTCCAGTGTTTGGCACACATTTATTAGAAAAGGAATAAATCAGTTTTATTTAGTATATGCTCGGTAACATGTAAACTGATCTCAAATTTTAAATGTAGCAGGTAAAAATAACTAATAGCAACTCTTGTTTTTTAGTTTTCTCTTTTTATTTAACCTAATTTTATTTTGTCTTACTAAAAAATACTTTTATTGATTTTTAGAGAGAGAGGAAGGGAGAGGGAGAGAGAAACATTGACGTGAGAATGAAACATTGATCGGCTGCCTCCTGCATGTCTCCTATCAGGGGTGGAACCTGCAACCCCAGTATGTGCCCTAATGGGGAATCAAACTGGCAATCTTTCCGTGCCCAGGATGACACCCAACCAAATGGCCACACCAGCCAGAACTTTTAAATCTTATTTTTTAAAACTTGTTGAAGAAGTTTGAATTGATGGCCCTTTTATCTTTAAGCTTTCTTGTCAGTAAGCGAAAGTCCAATTAAATACTCCTTTCATCTCAACACTGTATTAATTCAAAGAGTCATTTGTGAACATTCCTTAGAGAACTACATTCTAAAAAGTAAGGGCTGACTTAGTATTTCACTTTACCCTTAATCCACTGTTTCTTCATTTTGTTCAGAGCCACAAGTAGAGCATATCATTATCAAACCAAGTAATCCTCACAAGGGAAACTTAAGTGGTATTAAATTTTTTTTTTTCCTAGCAGAGATTACTTAACACACTGATATGCCCTGGTATACTTCTTACTTCCTTGACAAGGTTTCAAAGCAATTACCATATCCCTAGAATGTACTTGAATATAGTCTCAAAATACTCCTTAGGGAGATTTTAATTTTTTAAGATTGATTAGCTACAAAGTTATTCCAGATTTGACATGTGGTTGTTGCTTAGGAAGCAGCAAGTGTATAAAGCAGAAATGAGACAGTTGAAGGTGAGAACTGCTTATATGTAGATGGCTTTGTTATTTTTATGCAATTGAATTGTAATTGAATCTGCTTTCAGAATTATGAGCAAGAAAAATACACTCTTCAGAGAGAAGTTGAGCTCAAGAGTCGAATGTTAGAAAGTTTGAGTTCTGAATGTGAAGCTATTAAACAAGATCAAAAAATACACCTGGAGAAATTAGAAGAACAACTGAGCAGAGCCCATGGACAGGAAGTGAATGAACTAAAAAACAAGGTTTGGATATCTATGTATTTCAGAAGAAAAATGTTCCATGCTTATGCAGCAATCTGTAAACTTTAGGTGATGAAGATTTTTCTTAGTACCATCTATGCAAAATAGCTGAGATCAAGAAGAGCTCTCTGTTAATATGGGGCATGGGAACACTGTGAAACAAGAGTTTTATCTAAGGAATTTGTATAAATAACATTCTATTAGTTAAATACAATTATTTAATTTTTGTAACTAGATATTTGTTACAGAGTTTTGGTTTAGTGACCAGCATGACCCTTTTTGCTTATAGTGGATAGTATGGCAGCCCTCTTCCAGAAAGACTAGTCCCCTAGTTTTCACTACAATTAGTGACACACTCTAATTCCACAACAGTTTCTTATAAATGTGTGTACAGGAGAATTGATACTTTATAGTTTCTTTATTGAAGATAAACTAACATATGATTCCGTTTTTATAACGACTTCATAAGGGGGGTACCGTTATTACCTCCCTATAACAGTTGAGAAAACCATTGTTTAAGCCTACAGAGTAAGTTGGACAAAATTACAGAGCTAGAAATTATCAGTCAAGATTTGAACTGAAGCTGATTCCCAAGCCTGTGTTGCTGCACTTAGTCTAAGGGCATGTAATACTGGTTCCATTCCAAGCATAAATACAGAGTAAATGCTTGTTCAGTGAGTGTCCATTCCCTTTTGACACCCCATCTGCAGAGTGCCCTCAGGGTACTTGTAAAGAATCCAGAACTTTTATGATGGCTTCTCTTTGTATAGTCCATATTTTTCAAAATCCTCTCCAGTAAAACTTGTGTGACTTTTGTCCTGATTTCTCAGAAGTCTGTTTTCTAATTTTCAGTGTTTTTTGTGTGGCATCTTTTAAGATTTTTCTCTATTTGTGTACTATCTATACTATTACTTAATTTCTCATTAAATTCCTTTTTAAATATTTTCCCATTTTAAAGTAATAATATCAGTAAAATGGCATGTTTTAACTGGTAAGTTTTTTTTCTAATATGCAACACAAACATAACTATCAAAATATACTTTTGTGTAATGCTTAGAATCATCTCACATTCCACTCTGGCAAATAGTAATCCAGCTTGCCTGGAGCTAATCTTAGTTGAAACACCAATGACTGATAATGGTGCTTTTTCTCCCCACTCCTGAGTGTTGTTTTCATTTTAGCGGTATTTTTCATTATCTGCCCTAAACAAAAAAGTAATCTAGAAAATATTCAGAGATTGAGGCAAGGCCAATTATAGAGATGGCTTTTTGGTGGAGCAAATACTAAATCAGTCAAAAAATATTTTCAGTCTTACTGAAGTTCTCAAATCACTTGCCATAAATGTGGAGCTTTATTTGTGATCTTTCATTTATTTCCCACATGTAACCTATCAACAAGTTCTAAGAGTTTGACTTAAAAAACATCCATGTATACCACTGCAACTCTAGTTCAGGTCACCATCATCTCTCTCCTAATTACTATGCTATCCTGCGTCTTTCACTGCTGCTTATACCATTCATTCTTCACACAGCACCAATGCTATCAGGAATCCAGACCTACCCTGATTACTTATATAGACTTATTTGTATGTTTATAAAACAAGGCATGTCACTATCTTAAAAGATGCCCAACCTTGGCCAAATATGAAGCCTCAACAGTCTCATGCAGTAAGTTTGAGTCAGTCAGTGATGTTTTTCAGAAAGATGGCAATGTTTTCACATAAATCATTTAGTTGAAATTTTTATTTTACATTATGAAAGTAGGAAAGGGAAAACAAATCAAGCTAAGAGGCTGTGATTTTTTTAAATAGAAAATATATTTTAAAAATACGTTCTAAGAATGTTGAAACCCTATTGACAATAATTCAATATAGATGATAATCATAACCCTGAAAAATAAGTAAAAGCTTTTTATTGATAACAGGAACCCTTTAGTGAATGCTAGGCATGGTGCTATAGTTTTACCTATGCAATCTCAGTTGAGAGTTGTGATGGTAGGTACAATCATTTACCAGTGTTACATACGAGGAATGAAACTGACACAAGTTAAACCAGACCTGACCCTAACACTTCACTCTTCTGCTCTAAATGTTCCCTGTAAAGCTATGTATTCTTAGTCCTTCAAGATTTGGAACTATGTGACATTTTAGAAAGTTATTAAATAGTTCTGTTTAGGTCGACTGTCTTCCAAAGTAGTTATCCTGCAAGTACAAGGACAATTTGTACTGCAGTGGTATGTTCTGATGATCTTCATTTACCTTTTGATTGAGATTGTTTTTGATTTTTTTTTTTAACTTCAGCTAGAGAAACTAAAAGCGGAATTAGATGAAGCTAGGCTTAGTGAAAAGCAGCTGAAGCACAAAGTAGATCATCAGAAGGAACTCCTCTCTTGTAAATCAGAGGAAATGCGGGTAATGTCTGAACGTGTGCATGAAAGCATGTCTTCAGAGGTGCTGGCTCTTCAAATTGAACTGACAGAAATGGAAAGTATGAAGGTAATTTTTATGGCACATATGTTCTCAGGTTTTCTTCCCCTTTTTTGCACATATTTTACATGTTTTTATAATCCTTCTGAGCTAGTTTTAAGGCTGAATTATTTTTTGGCCTTTTATCTAACTAAAGAAGTGTTTTACAGAGTTTTTAGGGAGATTAGTTCATGCATAAGAAAGCTTTACATTAAGTGATTATGTAAGGCAGACTTTATTAATGAAACCTCTGGAAGAATTTAGAGACATTTACTCTGATCCTAGTTTGTATCATTTAAAAAAACCCCAATATGAAATGTTGGTCCCGTGGAAGTTAATATGCATATGAACGTAGTTTTTTCATTGCAGGCTAAGGATAATTAAAAATTAAAGCCTTAAATTCATAGGAAAGAAAGACAGTCTCTGGAGCCTTTTTTTGTTCTCTGCTGAAAAATTTATTATTTTGTTATGCACGTTATAAAACCTTTAACTAGTTCTTTAGTTTTAGGTGTAAATCATTGCTGATAGATAAACTGAGTGGCTGCTAAATAAAAGATTATTCAAGAGTTTCCTCTTTTTCAATTCCTATTGAATAGACCACCCTCAAGGAAGAAGTGAATGAACTGCAGTACAAACTAGAACAACTAGAACTTCTTAATTCTAATCTAATGCGCCAGGTCGACCGGCTTACAGAAGAAAAAGAGGAGCGAGAGAAAGAAGCGGTTTCTTATTATAATGCCTTAGAGGTATTATGATTGCAGTACCATCTTTTCCAATTCATAATAAGTTGTTTTCTTGCTAATCTAATCTCTATTAGGTAAGTTGTTTTCTTTTTAATTTAGAAAGCTCGTGTAGCAAATCAAGATCTTCAAGTGCAATTAGACCAAGCACTCCAGCAAGCCCTGGACCCCAGTAGTAAAGGCAACTCTTTGTTTGCAGAGGTACTTACAAACATTCCATTGATTAAATTGGCATTTCACTTAATACAAACATAATTACACATGTTAATATTTTCTAGGTAGAAGATCGAAGGGCAGCAATGGAACGAAGGTTTATCAGCATGAAAGTCAAGTATCAGTCACTAATGAAGCAAAATGCATTTAATAGAGAACAGATGCAAAGAATGAAGGTATGGAATTATCACCATCAAAGGTTTATTAAACCTTTTTTGTATCAGCTTTACATGTACAGACACATCAAAGAAAGCATCTTTTCCTTCAATGAATGTACTTACAAAGTTATTTTTAGAACTGCATGATTTTAGAAAATCAGTATTTTTTAAATTGAGCAAAAGATCCATTTATATTTTTAAAAATCCTATAGTAAAGATTTAGTTGTATATTTAGTACCCATTGGTTGTTTGATTTTGTAATAGTTACTCACTAGCTTTACCAGAGAGATATAAATCTTTCTTTGTGGAGTGGAAAAGGAAGACTTACATGATTTTATTTCTTGCTGTTGGTTTGGTGTCTTTTTTAGCATAGTCCTGAGATTTCTGCTTCAACTAAAAGTAGTTCTCTCATCCTTTAGTTCTCCCCCAAAAGCTTATATATAGGGTAAAATTTGAATTGCCTTTCCTTACAATTCCTCAAGTCAAGCATATAGGCCCTTTTAAATTTAAGGGTTTGTTAGTCATCATATTAGGCAAATAAGTGGTAACAGGAAAACATGTAGAAGTTAGAAAGATTTCAGTATTATACCAGCCTTAGAGTCCCGACCCCTGATCTGTATGTCTAACTCGGCTAAGATAGTAATTCAAAGACTGGAAGGCTTCCTGCCTTTTGTTTAGGATAATGAGATCTACCAATGAAATAGGAAACCTTGATTAAACCTTGGTGTTTGAAAAACTTGGGATTGAATCCTCATTCTGTCACTTGCTAGTTGTGTGACCTTGGTCAAGTATTTTTACTTTTCAGAGCATCAGTAATCTAATCTGTAAAATAGAGATGATAGAATCTGCCCCCTAGAATTGTCCTGGAGTTAAATGAAAGCATAGAAAAATTCTTACATGGGGCTTGGCAAATAAGGAAGTGCTACTTAATAAACAACAGCCTTGGCTTTTATTTCTAAGACTTTTGACTCTGCTGCCTGGTTTACTGAGGCTCTCCACTTTCTGATTTCTTTGTAAATTTTCTCACATTTGCTCTTTGTTTTTCTTCCAATATTTGTTGAGCTCCTGCTATTAACCACCCAACATTCCAATGATATCCCAAACTATCTTGAGATTGTAGATCTTCTTAGGCTAAGTGCATCTAGCCTCCAGTCTGAAGCAGGAACAAAAAGTGGATTCTTTAAAATGTTACAAGTCATCTTTCTCTCTTCCTTGTAACTATTCCTGCTCTCTCATATCATTGCTTACTTTACTCAAAATTGTATTTAAAATAATTGGCACTTTACAGAACTTCAGAAATATATAAAGGGAGAAAGAAATGTTAGGTATAGATTTTAGCTAATTTCCTTTCAATTGCTATGCAACTCTAGGTTTATGTGAGGTCATAATTAGATAAGTTAATTCTGCTCTTAAAAAATAAATTTATATTTATATTGAATATTTCCTTAATATCCTTAGATTGCCTTTTACCCTTTGCTTTCCATTCTTGTGCTTTCTGAATCTCACATTTATGAATGTAAGTAGGTTAATAATTTCTCCCACTTAATACGATTGAAGTTAATTAAAATTTTTGAGAAACCCCACGAGACCCTAATGAGAGTGCAGGCTATTTACCAGTTAAGTGATGTGCTTCCAGAACACAGCTATGCAGTTCAATTATGTCTCACAGAAGTACAAATAATTGTTACGGACTTTGGATATCATTCATAAGTAGTCAAAATAAGTAACTAAATTTACTGGTGTAAATGTTTCCAAGTTACTAGATTATTAGACTAGAAATAGCTAATTAGTTTAATTTCCAAAATGAGTTCAAAGTAATATAGTACAAAATATGAATTATACAAAAAATATAGTTATCAGAATCTTCCTCTCCCTCACTCAGTTTTATGGGGGGCGGTAATTTTTTTTTCCAGTTACAAATCGCCACATTGTTACAAATGAAAGGGTCTCAAACTGAATTTGAGCAGCAGGAACGGTTGTTTGCCATGCTGGAGCAGAAGAATGGTGAAATTAAACATCTCTTAAGTGAAATTAGAAATCTGGAGAAATTTAAGGTACGTGTAACACCTTTTAAAACTGCAGCTAGGGGAGTGGGGCATGAAAAAAATGCAGCTAAATTTTGGGTTGAATATCTTAATACTTCTTTTTTACTTGAATAGGTTTCTTTGTTATATAATTAACATATAGTTTCAGTTGAGATTGACTAATATTTAATTTTTTCCTTCTAGTTTCTTTTTGCTTTTCACTGGTTTTGACTGTTTCTTCTTTTAGTAGAGTCAGAGTAAACTAACCTTCCTCATACTTGTTATTATGTGAGTTTTAACTTAAAGTGCCCATATCTTTAGTGTGTAATTCAATGAGTTTTAACATGTCTCTTTTATTTATCAGCGTTAGATGTACAAGTAGTCTTGAGCTTCAGAGAAATGGCATCATTCATTATATCTCTCTTGTTCAACTCAACATTCTGTCAGTGAGATTTGTTCAAGTTACATGTTATCAGTAATTATTTTTCATTGCTGTCCAGCTCCATTTTTTAAAATGTTTTTATTGATTTTCAAGAAAGAAAGAGAGAGGAACAGAGAGATCGAAACATCAACAGGCTGACTCCTGTATGCCCCCTACTTGGAGATCGAGCCCACAACCTGGGAATGTGCCCTACCCAGGAATCAAACCAGTGACCTCTTGTTGCCTGGGTACATGCTCAACCACTGAGCCACACTGTCTGGGCCAGCTCAGTATTTTCTTGGCTACTCTTGCATCATTGTTTTTCTCTATGAACATCATATGTAACTTCAAAAAAACTTTGTTGGTATTTGTTATTTGCTGGAAGCTGGTCCATCCTTGCTGCTTGACACAGTCGCTGCAGGAAAGAAACATCTGCACAGCATATGTTTCAAGGGACCTGGCTTATATAGCATACTGTTCTTAATATGTTTGCTCCCCTTAGCGCTATGTGTTTTAACCAAGGTCACCTCTCTGAGAAAGGTTGTTTCCCCAGGTAGGGATTTTTCCCTGAAGTTAGGGAGGGGATAAAACCCCTTAACTAAGTGCCAGGCGGGTAGTTAATCACTTTAACTACAAACAATCACACTTAAGCTACATAATCTTTACTCCCTGGAATGGAGATAAGAAACGCCCTAACCTTTGGAATAGAGATTGATAGGATTGGAATCAACTGGTATAAATACAGATGTAACAAGATAACAGGACACAGAACCTAGAGACAGAACCTAGCAAGAGAACATGGCAAAAGATCCTGGACAGAACCTGGCTACAGAAATTGGCTGGAGAACCCTGTCCTAGACAGAACTTGGCTGGAGATCCTGGCTAGGCTGCTGATCAACTGAACGCTGCCTCTGTCATTCCTTCTTCGCCGACTCCGTCCACACCTTTGGGGACCCTTGGACCTGCTGGGGTTGGACCCCCAGCAGTTATTAGAATTATATTAAATATAAATTAACTGTGAGAGTATAAATGTCTTCTCACTAACTGAATAACTAATTAAAGTTTATAAGTGACAGATTTTAAAAATGTTAACCTCTTGAGCATTTTAAATTGTAGCCAGTAGTGTATTATGAAATTTTAAATGTATGTAACCTTTTTTTTTTCTCTTATAAGAACTGTTGACTACGATTTTGGTTAAATTTGCAGTATATCAATTGTCAGGTTTATGTGGGCCACGAGCAGGCTTAGCACTATACTTTGGAAATTATGGCTTTAACCAGGAGGTTTTAGCCTGCAATTTTTAAAATTGTTCACAAGATTTTAAGCAGTATATTATATATTTTTACCCTAGAGAAATCTTGCAGGGTTTCCATCAGAATCTCAGAAGAGTGGGCACCAAAAATAATTGTAAGGATCTCCACTCTTTCAAATTTTTCTAATTTATGGCTTTGTCATAAAATCCAGAATTAAACTCAGAAGTATTTATTTCTTCCATTTTAAAAGGAGAGGGAAATCAGAGGATGCAGGTATGGTTAGGAGCCTTGGCTTTGGAGACAGATCTGGGTTCAGATTCTTCTTAGTTTACTTGCCTGTGGCATCTTAAACCAGTTCTCTTATGTGTATGAGAGGGATGTTCATTCTTGCATCTAGTTCAGAAGGTAAGTGAGTTGAGTGGATAGTACTTGTTAGCACAGTGCCTGCTATGGGATAAGCATTCAATAAATGGTAGCTGATATTATTATTAATAAACATTTTGCTAACCTAATTTATTATTTATTTTAATTAATAAGAATTGTTGCTTTATTTAGAGTTTATATGAAAGTATGGAATCTAAGCCTTCAGACAACTCTGGTACTCTGAAAGATACTACCTATTACACGGATTTACTTCAGATAAAGCTTGACAACTCAAAGTAAGTGTTGGTTGGATAGAAAGATGGAGACTCTTAACTTGTTTATAATAAGTAGTATTAGTGATTACATATTTTTGTTTTAATATTACCAAAAAAAAAATCCAAAAAGGGAAGGTAACAAAAATATCTCTGGGCATTAAGCAAGATTTAGTCAAGATTTAATTAGTGCTGATTATTGAAGAAAAAATACTTTTAATGAATAATTAAATATTTTTATTTCTTTGTGTTTAGCTTTTTAGATTGATAAGTGAAAATAACTTTAACGTAGAAAATGTTCTTATAATCTAAATTTTTCAAGAAAATATATAATTTTAAAGGAAGTTATTCACACATGAATAAACGTGAAAAGAACATTTCACCACTTTGTTCATTTTCTTTAGAGAAAGCATGGGGTTTTTACTTTATTTAAAAGTGCCATTGTTAAAGCTTAAAATATATTTTTTGACTAAGTTCTAATATATAATAAAAGATTTGCACTAACAACTACACTTGTTTATATTATGTTATTTTAATATTCCTTGGTTCCCCTTTTTTATTGATATAGCAAAGAAAATGAAAGCACTAAAGGGGAATTGTCCATACAACGAATGAATGCATTATTTGAGAGCCAGCGGGCTCTGGATATTGAGCGAAAACTTTTTGCCAATGAAAGATGCCTCCAGTTTTCCCAAAGTGAAAATATGAAACTGAGAGCTAAAATAGATGAGTTAAAACTAAAGTATGAACCTGAAGGTATGTATAGCTTATAAATTTTGTCTTTTAATCATGAGAAGCTCTACAGTTCATTTTTATACAAATCCCATTACAGATGAATTGTATTTATAGTAAAACCTGTACTGCTACAAAATGTGTAGGAAAATTCAAAGAGAACTGGGTACTAATGTGCATGACTATAATAGCTATTTTTGAGACTTTTTCACTTAAGATTACAGCATCTCATGTAATGCCAAAGAGTTCCATTTTGTTGAGGCAATTGATGTTTGGGAGCTATGTTAGTTAATGCTGTTTATAGAAAACCTAAAATGATGGAGACTTAAATAAGATAGGTAGTTATTCCTTCCCCTCATAAAAGTCTGGAGGAGGCATTCCAGTACTGGCCAAAGTCTGGATCTAGACTTCATTTGCATTGTTTGTCAGTATACATCTTGAGCACAATTTAGTCATGGCCTCATCTGCCTACAAGTAAAGCTGAGAAATGCAGTCTTTTTCTCAGGGTCCGTGTTCCCAACGAAATCTTGGGGAGTCTGTTCTTAAGGAAGAATAGTAGAACCAAATATTAGAATGCAGCTAGTGAGTATAATCACTCAGATAGAAAATACCCATTTTATACACTTAAAGAGAGTGATTTTACTATACCTAAATCCTATATAATAAATAAAATCCTAATATGCTAAGGGTCTGGTTGACTGGTTGGTTGTTCAGCCAATCAAAGTGTAATATGCTAATAATATGCTAAGGCCTCTCAACTGCTCGGTATAACATGCACTGACCACCAGGGGGCAGATGCTCCTACTGGTAGGTTAGCTTCCTGCTGGGGTCCGGCCAATTGGGACTGAGCGAGATGGGCTGGGCACGCCCTGGAGCCCTCCTGTGGTCCCTCCCCAGCTGGCCAACCTCCTGTGTCCCTCCTCGGCCCCAGTCGTGTACCGATGGGGTCCCTCAGCCTGGCCTGTGCCCTTTCACAATCTGGGACCTCTCGGGGAATGTCAGAGAGCCGGTTTCGGCCCTATCCTGCAGGCCAGGCCGAGGGACCCCACTGGTGCACGAATTTGTGCACTGGGCCTCTAGTCCTATATAATAAAAGGCTAATATGCAAATAGACTGAACAGTGGAACAACCCCAACAATCGGTCGCTATGATGTGCGCTGATCACCAGGGGACATGTGCGGAACATGGCGGGCGTAGGCCATTGGGGGATAGTGGAGCAGGTGAGTGGGGGCGCCAGACCAAGGTGGGGTGCTGGTCTCTGTCATCCGGGTTACTGAAAATTATTTGCTCCCTTGTGCCACAGTCCCGCCCCGTGCTCACACCTGCTGCCGGCGCTGACCCCACTCCCACCTGCTGCTGGCACTGGAGCCGCCGTTTGCATCCACTGCCCATGCCTGGCGTTGGTCCCGATCACTCAGTGCCATCAGTGGGTGTGAGTGGCAGCTGCTGGCCCTGATCGCCCTTGAGGGCTTCTCCACCTGCCACTGCTCCTAAGGGGTAATTGGAGCGGCAGCTGCTGCTCAGACCCCTGACGGCGCCAGCCCCACTCGCAGCTGCTGGTGCTGGCCCCAATCGCTCTGCGCCATCAGTGGGTGTGAGCGGTGGTGGCGGGAGCGGGGCTGCCAGCAGATGGGACCAGGGCTGGGCAGGGGCATGGAGGATGGGCCAAGACCTGCCCCTTTGCCTACCGCAGCCTCGCAGCCCACAGTTCCTTTCAAGGTGCATGAATTCGTCACTGGGCTGCTAGTTAAGATATAAAAGGCCCAAAGTAAATAAGTCTAAGAATGTGATGGTTCTTATACAAAAAAAAGTGTTATTACTTGTTTTAGGTTATAGATTTTTCAGCAGTTTTTGTGCCTACACTGTTCATATGCCTAACATTCTATTTTCATTACTGTTTCAATGACTGGAGTTATTCTCAACAATAATGGGAAAGCTGTCAGCAGTAGTAAGGTGTTTTTAGTTAAAAAGGCTTCTCTTTCCCTAATTCTCATAGGCTATCCTGATTAAGAATTAATCCATTTTCAATTTCAAAGGTTGCTGAATTGAATGAACATAGCAAAGAGACTTGAGGCAGTATAGTGAACCTAGATGATGTGGATTTTAAAGGAGCAGTGAAAGAGAAAGGGAAAATAATCCTATATAATAAAAAGCTAATATGCAAGTGGTCGTCACGCCCTCATGCCCTCGTGCTGGAACTGCTCAGCCACTCAACACTGGGGAGAGAGGAATGGGAACCAGCCAGGCACAAATGAGCTCGCAAGAGAGGAATGGGGACCAGCCAGGGTGCAGCCGGGAGAGGGACAAGCCACACACCCTGTGGTCCCAGGCGCCTGCGACTGCAGCCCAGTTAAAGCCACCTGCCCACAGTTCCCTTCAGCTGCGGCTGACCCAGGTGAAGCCAGCCCAGGTCCTGGGTGCCTGTGGCCGGCCAGAGGGAGGGATGCTCGGGTCCTGGATGCCAGCAACCAGCCGGAGGAGGGAATCCTGGGTCCCAGGTGTAGGACAAGGCAGAGGCATTTAGGGGTGATCAGGCTGATAGGGGAGCAGTTGGGGCGATCAGGCAGGCGAGCAGTTAGGAGCCGATGGTCCCAGATTGCGAGAGGCAGTTGTACATCCGCCAAGGGGCCCTGGATTGGAGAGGTTGCAGGCCGGGCTGAGGAACCCCCCCTGCCCCTGCCACCCTGCATGAATTTTGTGCACCGGGCCTGTAGTGATTCTATAATGTCCATATAGAGCAGGAACACCACCCACACTAGACTGTGGTTTCTCCAACTTCACTAAAATTTTTATTTTGAAAATTTAAGACATGTTGGTATGAGGACAGGGAAGGTGTATTAGAGCATTTAATTCAGTGACTGGATGTGGAGCTGCATAGGGAATGGAGTGGTGTTAATGTTAAGCAGTGGAGCTAGAAGGCCATTGTAGTCTGTAGTGAGATCTAATAATATGGTTTGAACTAGGGAGGTATCCATTGTAGAAGAACTCAGGTTTTGAATATATTTTGTAGGGGAGGCTAATAGGTACAAGTTATCATATTCAGAGAATCTGACCTGTAACACCAGAAAAGAACATTGAAGTGCTCATTCCTAGAGGCAGATATATTGAGTTCCCGAAGAAAGTGACAGGCAGGCAGATGACCTTTAAAAGACAAAATTAATGGAGTCCATGACAAAGAAAGATAAAAGAAACAAAATATTTACTAAGGCAATGAGTGGGTTTTAAAAGAATGGGGGAAGGAAAACTATATAACTAGTTCTACCTCTTTATGTGGATTGTGTCCTTGATTTATTAACTGGATATATTTTTAATGATTTTATTCTCAGAGAAAATTGAAGTGCCTGTACTCAAAAAGAGGCGTGAGGTACTGCCTGTGGATATAACCACCCCTAACAACGTATGTTCTAACGGTGCTGTTGGGGAAGAAGTTTCTGGATCACCATCTCAGAAAGAGGAGGCACAGTCCTGTACTAGCAACTTAAAAGATAACAACTTACAGTTAGAAAAGACAGTTGCTATAAACATACCAGGAATTACTCTCTCTCCTCACAAAAACCTGACTGTGAATATTCAGCCAACGAAGGAAAAGAAATGTGTGAAACTTGTAGAAGTTCCAGCCATGAGTGAAAGAAGTGGAAACTCCCCTGACTCTCGCAGGTCAGTGTCCTCTCTTATTCAAGGCAACCAGCACTTCTCTCCATCTCTTCTCTATGACTGCATGAACTGTGCTGTTTCTTCATCTATTTTCTTAGTGTTACATGCAGTATAATTTCTTCTCTCTACTTTCAACATTTTTAAAACATTAAGAAAGACCAATGATTGCTAGGGGAAAGGACTTCTGAATAAGGAAATTATGTTTTTAAGTTACACTTTTCTGTTTCATGAAACAATTATCACAGTTTAATACCTCTGAACATTTTGTTGGTTTGGATAAGTGTACAGTTACTGTTTTCCTGGTTCAATAGGAACTAGGCCAGCCAGGTGTTGCTCAGTGGTTGAGCATTAACTTACAAACCAGGAGGTCTTGGTTCAATTCCTGGTCACAGCACATGCCTGAGTTGCTGGCTCCATCCCCAGTAGCAGGCATGCAGGAGGCTGCTGATCAATGATTCTCTCTCAACATTGATGTTTCTATATCTCTCTCCCTCTCCTTTCCTCTCTGAAATCAATAAAAATCCTATATCAAAAAAATCAAAGGCTAATATGCAAATTGTCCCCTGGGGAGTTTGACCCACTAGGAGTTCAACTGCTCACTATGACATGTGCCGACCACCAGGGAGCGGCAGCCAGCAGCCAGGGGAAGGAAGGCCTTGATCATCCCTGATCGCTGGCCAGGCCTAGGGACCCTACCTGTGCATGAATTTTGTGCACCGGGCCTCTAGTATATTAAAAGAAAAGAAAAAAAAAAAGTGGTGATTAAAGAAAAATCAACTTACCTCCTAAAATGTCTTTCGAATGGTCTAAGAAATTTCAGCCTTTTGGAAAACTTCAATAAAATTTTTAATTGATTTTTAAAATGATTTATCCGAAGCCTTTAAGTATGGGCTTTGACCTTTTTAAATATCAAAGGTAAGTTCATTTTAAAAAATATATATATCTTTTTATTGATTTCAGAGACAAAGGGAGAGGGAGAGAGAGATAGAAACGTCAATGATGAGAGAGAATCATTGATCAGTTGCCTCCTACATGCCCCATACTGGGGATCAAGCCTGCAACTTGGGCATGTACCCTTGACTAGAATCAAACCTGGGTCTCTTCAGTCCATAGGCCTACACTCTATCCATTGAGCCAAACTGGCCAGGGCAAAAGTAAGTTCATTTTTGTTTTATATCAAAACTTCAAAGCTTCTATTCAAATATTTCTGAATATTTGAATTTTTACTAAAATAGAAAATGTCTAGACATGTATAACTTTAGAAACTCATGTTTTAAGAGCCTTAGCCTTAAAAAAAAATTAAAGTAATAGAGGTCAAAAGGTAAGAACGTAAGTGAAAGAGAAATACCTCGTCATTGTTTATTTTTTCTTAAATTATTATTCTGCTAGTTGAAACTCAATTTGATTTCTTTTATGAGACAAATACACATCTATTTATGCAGCCCAGGATCTTGTGTTATTTTTACTTAGGCATTTTGCTTTTTATATATTACGTTAACATTAAACGAGTGCTACAGCATTGTAAACCTTTTCACTAGGTGTGCTTATTATGATAGGCACCCTCATTATATTTTAGTTCTTTAATTTAGGCTTTGCCATGACTTTTTATCCGCCTTAAAGATATTTCTTTAGACATTTAAAAAAGGCAGTCTATTGACATAAAAAGATTCTTTTAGAGAGTCAGTGACTTAGTTTTCTTAATGGTATTAGAGTCAACTATAATGTTTTTCCTTATATAAATAAAAAAATCACCATATCTTATTAGAGGCCCATTATACTAGAGAATTCTCCCTTCTTTCTTTTTCTTAACCACACTTGAATTCAGAATGGGTGCTTTAATGCCTGTAGGTTAGCTGCTGAATCAAAGCTTCAAACAGAAGTTAAAGAAGAAAAAGAAACTGCAAGAAAATTGGAAAAGAAAACTTGTAAGAAATCACACCCTGTTCTATACGTGTCCTCTAAATCAACTCCAGAAACTCAGTGCGCTCAGCAGTGAAGACTGATCTTTAAGAAGAGTAAAATAACACTTGCCCAAAAGGTTGCTGTGGAGGTTGTCTTCAAATTAAGATTGTCTTCATCTGAAGCATGCCACCTTGTTGGTTATTTCTTTCTACTCACTGTGCCAGGACCTGGCATGTTCATACTGTTTTGACCAAATGTTCTAAATTTGGTTGTGATTCCAACCAGGAGATTTCTTTAAGTGATGGTCCTTCCTGGAGCTCCTGTGTGAATAAACTATTAAATGAAGGAAGGTGTTGTTATAAATCTATTTGTTGCATTGTATATGGATTTTTAAGTAATATTAACACATACTATCAGAGCCATATATTATATTGTAACTGGATTTTGTCAGTGTTTAAAGTACCTATGTTCATCTTTGTATTTTTAACTCTAAACTTTCTAAATAAAAATTTTTTCCCCTTTATATGATTATAGACTGGTCTATGACTTAATTTCATATATACTGTAGGTGGGTGTATTACTCTGTATCAGTGATTTTCAACCTTTTTCATCTCATGACACACACAGACTAATAAAATTCTGTGGCACACCAAAAAATATATTTTTTGCTGATCTAACAAAAAGAGGGGAGTATAATTTTGATTCATTCACATCAGATAGCTATTGTTGTGTTGACTGTGGTCATTATTTTATTTGACAATCTAAGGGAAAAGAGGTCAGTGCCCCTAAGTAGTCAGGTATTGCATGTTTTATAAAGTCTTGCAGCACACCAGAGTATCTGCTATGGCACACCGATTGAAAATTGCTGGTCTATACTATATAGAAAGAGGCAGAGATTTATTTTAAGGAATTGGCTTCCGTGCTTATGGAGGTTGGCAAGTCTAAAATCAGCAGTTCAAAAGGTGTCAGGGTAGAGACGCACAGAAGAACCAATGTCACAGTTTAAGTTTGGAAACTGTCTGCTACAGAATTCTACAGGTCAGTCTTTGTTCTATCTAGGGTTTCAGCTCATCACAGGCATAGGCTCACCCATGTTATGAAGGGAAATCTGCTTTACTCAAAGTCCACAATTTTAAATGTTAATCTCACCTAAAAACACTCTCACAGAAACATCCAGAATAATGCTTAACCACATACAGCCCAACCAAGGTGACCTACAATTAACTATCACAGTAGGTTAGTTAGGTAAGTCTATTGAAATGTATTAGGTAAAAGGAAATTGCCTCTTCTAAATAAATCAAATAAACTTAATTTATTGCAAAAAGCATACCCTCAGGAAATTAGATATTGCACATTAAATAACATCTCTTGCCAAAAGAAGTAGCTGAAGGCACTAGAAAACTATTTTAAACTGAGAAAAATAAATGAATAGCTTATTCATTGCATATTATAGAATGTAGATCAATTTCTTCCAACATTGAGTTTTTACTATGAGTTAGGAGTGCAAAAATAATCCTTCATAGCTCTCAGTGTAGTAGACCCACATAAATGAGTAATGGTAGAAATGATATTACTAGTATTAATAGTTATATCTAACATTTGGATCACCTAATGTGCCAAGCACTGTTTTAAGCCCTTTTATGTATTGCCACATTTAACCTCATCTTTGTGAGCTGGATATTATATTTAACTTATTCTCATTTTACAGATGAGGAAACCAAGGCCTCCAAGTGGTTAAGTTACCTGTCCAAGGGCACAGGTGTTAGTGGGTGGTGAAAAAGTTAAAAGAGTGGTAGAAGTTGTAATAGAATATCCAAAGTGCTAAAGGGACTGAGAAGGAAACAAACTGCCTGGCGGCTTTTTACTTTTTTTCAAAATCTTTCAGCTTAGATTCCTCCAGAGGTTTCCCAAGGCGTGGAGAGAATAGCATTACAGCAACAACTACAATCAGCAACAATAATCTTTGGTGAGGGGAGAAATCTGATTTCTAGAGTTGGCACATGATAATTCTCAAAATGTCCAATTTTCAACAACTATTACAAGGCAAGAAACAAAGTATGATCCAAAAATAAGAAAAAATAAACTCTGCCAGACATTGGACTTACTAGACAAAAACTTTAAATCAACAATTTTAAATATGCTTAAAGAGCTGATGACATAAAAACAATGGCAAATAGAGACTACCAATAAAGAGAAATGGTTAAAGGTTTAAACCAGATTGGCACTGTGGAGTTGAAGAGTACAATAACAAATGAGAAGCTCACATTCAACAGCAGATTTGAAAAGCAAGTAGGAAAATAAGTAAAATTAGGAGATTGGCCAGTTGAGATCATTCTGACTGAAGAACAGAAAAGAATGAAGAAAAATGAACAGTGCCTAAGAAATCTATGGGGCACAATCAAGCATGGCAATATATGTAAACCTAAAACTGTTCTAACAAAAAAGGCTCTCTGTAGTTTGAAAAGTGTGTGTGTGTGGGGGGGGAGGGGTCTGGGGGGGGGAGCAAAAGAGAAAATGAGGGGCCTAGTAAGACAAAAGAACCACAATATCAGAGGACTCAGAAATCTACTCTGCCACTGACAACAGACTATTAAAGACTGTACTTCATTATGATGACAGAAGGGGGCACCCTTTGACTAGGAACCTTGTAAAAACACCCCAAAATTTACATGACAAATAGGCAAAAACACAAACCTTTTATAAGAAGGAAACAAAAAATAAGACCACCTTGTGAACTGATGACCCCACCAAAACCACTCAGCCCGCCCCTCCCAAAAGCCATATGAAGGTGAAGCAAAGTATAACTTTCTTCTAGATTCTAGAACACTCAATGCTATTGAATTTTTTAAATAGAGAAAAATCCTCAAAAACTCACCCACACAAAAAAAATATCAAGCACTTACAGAAGCAAGAGAATTAATCTGACATCAGACTTCCCCAGAACAATATTCAGAAGAAGGCATTAATCATACAGACTTAAAAAGAACTTTAAGGAAAGAAATTGTAAATCTTGGATTTTATTTGCATTGAAGTTATTCTTTAGGCATCAAGGCTATAGGAAAACCTTTGAAAAATGACAAGAAGGATTTTTTTTTTTGTACCCATGAACCTCCTTGAGTAATCTCTTAAGAGTAATCATCTCACAAAAGATGACTGGGAAAACTTTTGAAGAACTAAACTAAGAAATAAGTATATTGTGGATAATTGGAACCAGATTTTTCACTGTTGGAGAAGAAAATTCAACTAAATGAGGGGAGCCTTGCCAATGTGGCTCAATAGTTAGTTGAGCATCGACCTATGAACCAGGAGGTCATGGTTCGATTCCCGATCAGGGCATATGCCCAGGTTGCAGGCTTGATCCCCAATCATGAAGGTGGCAGCCAATCAATGATTCTTTCTCATCACTGATGTTCTATCTCTCCCTCTCCTCTGAAATCAATAATATGTATTTAAACCAACTAAATGAGGGGGAAGGCTAAATGAATGAAAAAGGCTAAAAATGCCTACTATGGTGTTAGATTCCATATGAACTCGTTTTTTGAGAGATTTTTAAAAATTATACACACACACACACACACACACACACACACACACACACACACACTTCCTAGCTCTATCTGCTGATCCTTAGAAAACGGCATCTCAATAGCAATGAGCTCATTCAGCACAGCTAGCACCCAGATCTTGGTTTCATAATGTCATTCTCTACTAAGTGAACTATTTCTTTGAGAGATGGTTACTTTCAGGACTAGGCTGAAATGAATGAGATGACCCTAAACATCTTGTTCCCAAAAGGAAGAAAGTGCTTCAATGATGGGGACATGTCAAAATGACATGGGCGCCAGCTTGAAGTGGCTTCCACTGTCCAAATCGAGGACAATTTGAGCCTCTAAATAAATGATGGTGATGGATTATATTGAGTAGAATAAGAAACTATGAACCCATAGTTTTGAATAAACACATTAATAAAGAAGGGAAAGCTTTTTCTCACAGTAGACTCTGATTTAATACACGTAGAAAGAATGGTAGAATTCAAAAATAACTACTTGGTAATTAAGTGATTCAGAAAAGAATTATCAATAGTTGCTAAAACTAGTGGACTAAAAGTATGATGAGCCCATGGGTACTGTGGCTCAGTTTTTGGAGTATCATCCCATACACCAAAGGGTTGCAGGTTCTCTTCCACATTTGGGGCATGTACAAGAGGCAACAACCAATGTTTCTCTATCTTCCTCCCTCTTAGAGTGAATAAATATGTCCTCGGGTGAGTATTAAAAATAATAATAATAAAATAAAAGTTTGCTGAGTTACAGACTATTTACATCATCTCATGGTATCGCTCCACAAATACACATTAATTACAATGGGAAAAATAGTAAACTTAGAAGACCTCACCTTACTCAATGATCAAAGTTAACAGCACAGTAATAGAACAAATTGATAGTGTGCATGTCCTGCCATAAAATGCATAACTTGCATCTAATCATGACAAAACACCCTGAAACCTTGAGAGGCATTCTATTTAATAACTGGCCTGTAATCTTAAAAATGCCAAGATCATGAGTGACAAAGGTGGAGGAACAGCCCTAGCTGATTTTTCTCAGTGGTTAGAGCATCAGCTTTCAGACTGAAGGGTCCCAGGTTTGTTTCCCGTCAAGGGTACGTACCTTGGTTTCAGGCTTGATCCCCAGTAGGGGCTATGCAGGAAGCAGACAATTGATGATGTTCCTCTCTCATTGATTTTTCTATCTCTCTATCCCTCTCCCTCTCTCTAAAAATTCAATAAAAACATATTTATTTTTTTACAAAAAGGTAGAGCAACAGATCCTGTTAAAGAGACATATAGCAAGTGAATGCAACTTGTGATACGTAATTTTCTTTGGCAACAGAAAACACTAATGAGACAACTGGAGAAATTTGATTGAGGACTTTGATTAGCTGATAATATGGTGTCAATTATAATTTCCTGAATTTGATCATTGTTTTTAAGAAATACCCTATGAAATATTTAGAGGCTAAAGGGCATCATGTCTGCATCTTATTCTCAAATGGTTCAGCAAAAAGCATACACACACACACACACACACACACACACACACACACTAATTGAAAGGGACATGATTAAGCAAATGTGGTGAAATGTTAACATTTGGAGAATCTGGGTAAAGAGTTTACAGATTTTTTTTAACTGTTAAAACTTCTGTAACTCTGAAATTCTGTTAAAATGAAAAGATTTACAATGGTATTATTTCAGATGATGACAGTATATGTAGAAAATCTAAAACACTTTATAGATAAACTATTAAAATTAAGAATTGAATTTATTAAGGGTACCTATTAAATACAGGCTATTTAAAAATTTAATTATGCCATGTAAAAACAAATATGAATTTTTAAAAATTACACAGGTTACAATAGCATAAGTTATGTAATATGCCTAGGGATAAAGTCAACAGAAAGATGTACAAAACCTATATACTGAAAGTTACAGAAACATTGTAGGGATAAATTAAAGATCCAAAT